TGCTCATCTCCATTTCTAAGCCAAAGAGTTGGCATTGTCCGTAGACACCTCCACGGTCATGTGTTTAGTCGCCCTAGGGCTGAGAACGGCGGTCTACAAGTGCAGTAATAAATGTCTGGATGAAGCAGAAGTGATACCTATTGATCTACTCACATTTGCATGTTTTCGAACTGCTAGGTTGGCAGAAGTTGGATTTTACAGTGGAAGCTCACCCCATTCCCTGGATTCAAACTGCCAAACTTTCGCTCAGCAAGTTCAGCAGCTCAGCGGTTTAACCCGCTGCACCATCAGGGGGCAGATACAGGATGCTCAACCGTATATATTCCCTTACCATTATGTATGTTGTTCTACTGTGATAGGATAAGACTGTGTTTTGTATTGCAGGCCAGCAGTTGTGATGCAGAGCTGTCGTAAATAACTAAAACTGCCAGTTTTAGTTAACTTTCAAGAAGTAGGAAAATTATGTTTTTATTCTTGAAAAAGTAAAGCTGTGACAGGAACTAACTAACTTATTTATTCTTTCAAGGGAACCAAGGTAAAGAACTATCTCATAGATCTTTACCTTGAAACTCTTAACTCTTAACAATAGCTTTAAAATTAATGAACAGTACAATACACTCCTTACCCAAGGAATATATGTTCCAGAACAGCTTGTGGATACCTGAAACTATTAATTATATTTTGACTATACTTGAGCCAAAGGTATACCATATAACATTTCTGGAAGACCTAGTAGGGAGGCTCACAAACACTTTGGGGGGAAATATTTTTTGGGGTGTTGCTAAATGAAGCCATGGGTATCGAATCTATGGACAAGGAGACTGTACTATGCCATTTTCTGAGGTGGTCAGATTATTGTAGATTATTTTATGTCAGACACATTGGTGTTTTTTTTTTTAACATCACCACCGCAAAGTAACCAATTTCCAGAGGAGATTCTAGAAGATCCAGACCTGTCTCCTGTCTTATCCTTTGTTAAAATTAAGTTGACATATTTAGGATGGGGGTGTCCTGGTGTTAGAAACCCTAGAGTAATTCAGATATAGGTTTCAACTTGTGTAGAAAGGTATTTTGTTGTCATGTAATATGTTCTGCAGCTGATGGTGGTGGGTGATGGAAGGGTTAATGTAAGTATTAGTTCTAATGGGTTGAGAAATCTGGAAGTAAGAGTTCATGGGTGAAAGCAATTAAGGGCGGAGGTATGCAAGAGATAGGTTGCAGCTGGGTGTTTCTGGATATAAGGAGCGAGCCTTGGAAATGATCTTTGGGAGAAAAGTATTTGTCTTTTCTCACTACCTCTGAGGATGCTTGCCATAGATGCAGGCGAAACGTCAGGAGAAATATTGCCTCCAGAATATGGCCATATAGCCCGGAAAAACCTACAACAACCCAGTGTTTGTCTTATTTTGGTGGTAGATGCTGCTGGTTTCCCCCCAGGTTTGTTGGATTTTCGGTATCCTGACCTGTCTTCTGTAATCTTGGAACCTTGAAACTCTGGACTGGCTTTTGACTACAGTATAGACTCTTGATCCTTGGACTTTGTTTATTGAACTCTCGGCATTTGACCACTGGACTGGACCCTTTGACTAGGGTGTAGCATTTGCTATCAGTTTTTGTTTATTCTGCGGCTGAGTGCTATCTTTATGTTTTATGTTTTGGACTATTGAAACAGCCAGCTGTTTTAATTAAATTGTTTAACACAAACTGGGTGTTTGTTTGATTCACCTCTGCCAGAAATAATGGCAGAGCCCTGGCAATGTAACAATTGGGGCTAGGGAGGGTCACTGGTATTTGGTCCACATTTGTGCCCACTCTGTTGAGATTCACTTTGACTGCATAGAGGCTGCCATCAAATGCCAGCTATGCTTCATAACCCCTGGGCTCTGGCAATAACAAAACATAGATTAACCTACTTGTGTTCTGTAGCACAGCATCATCCTTCTTAACTTCAGAGGTCAATAAATTAGAATTGCTAGTTATAGAGGAAAACCTTGTGCTTTCTTTCGCCTATAACCTATTCTTGACCACAAGATAAAGCACTTTAATTCTAACAGTTTATGGGAACTTGCGGTCATTATTTTTATGTTTGAGATTAGTGGGAGTCTAAATGTTATATTCTGTTTACGAACCCACGCAATCTCTTCGATCATCTGGAGAGGCCCTGCTCTCGCCACCCCACCCCCCTTCGTAGGCGTGATTGGTGGGGACGAGGGAGAGGGCCTTCTCTATGGTGGCCCCCCGACTCTGGAACTCACTCCCTAAAGATATCAGACAGGCCCYCACTTCGGTAGTCTTTAGGAGGAGCTTRAAAACATGGCTGTTCCAGTGTGCTTTCCCTGAATAAAGGAAATAATAYCCAATCTGACCAATATCCTTCTATATGTCCTCTGAAGCACTTTATCTATCCGTTGGATTGATCTCCCTACATCACTCTCTAAAACCCCCATGTTAAAACCCCCATGTTAAAATTTAAATCTATTACATTTGGCCCTGCCATAGTGTCTTAAATCTCTTGTGTGTTTCTGCGTATATGTTTAGTTATATTTTTATACTAGCTGTCCCCTGCCACGCGTTGCTGTGGCCCATTCCGTTGATCTGGAAAATAAAGTAATGAGAAAGTGTTGGTTTCTAATATATGTAATGTCTTTATGCTTGTGGGAAAACAGTATTTCTTGCTGTTTCTTTGTCATTGTTGATGTGGAGGTTGTCTGGTTTGCCCACTCTGGAACATGCGACATATAATTGTCCTTCTTCAGGGGTCCCTTTCAAATCTATAATACTATATATCTCTCTGTGTGTGAATCATATCTATCTATATCTCTGGCTGGATGGCTCTTTGTCAGGAGGGCTTTGATTACATTTTCTTGCCCTAGTGAGGGGAATTGGACTGGATGGCCTTGAATATTTTCTGTTGGTCATGGGGGTTCTGTGTGGGAAGTTTGGCCCAATTCTGTAGCTGGCCTGGTTCAGAACGCCCTTTGATTGTAGGTGAATTATAAATCCTAGTAACTACAACTCTCAAATGTCAAGGTCTATTTCCCCCAAACTCTATCTGTATTCATATTTGGGCATATTGAATATTTGTGCCAAGTTTGATCCAGATCCATCATTTTTTGAGTCCATGGTAGTCTCTGGATGTAGGTGAACTACAACTCCCAAACTCAAGGTCAATGCCCACCAAACACTTCCAGTATTTTCTGTTGGTCAGGGGAGTCCTGTGTGCCATGTTTGGTTCAATTCCATTGTTGGTGGGGTTCAGAATGCTCTTCGATTACAGGTGAACTATAAATCCCAGCAACTACAACTCCCAAATGACAACATCATAATTTTTTGAGTGATGGTCACTCCTTGTGTTGTGAGATGTTTTGTTGCTAAATTTGGTGTGATTTCATTCATTGGTTCTTTTGTTTTTAAGTAACTCATTATGCGGTGAGCATTTATATATATATAGATTGTTTTATTTGCTTGTTTGCTTTCTTGAGGTATTGTTGTATTTGTATTTGTATTTGACGGGCTTGGCCTCATGTAAGCCGCCCCGAGTCCCTTCGGGGAGATGGTGGCGGGGTATAAATAAAGTTTTATTATTATTTATTAAATTTCATATAGAATGCTTTTATTTCAATTGAAACTGAACCTTTTAATTTCCATTGTGGATTTCAAAATCCTTGGTTTAATGGGTTGTTTCGTCCATTTTTGTGTTCTAATCCATCAACACTACTGTCGGGAGAAGGCAATTAAAAACTCTGTGGAGTTTTTCCTCTGCATGCTGACAAATATTGTATTTATTTATTAACTGTCTCTGCATGTATACAGTCAACACATCACAGATGTTCTCTCAGTGGCTTGTTCACAGGTACATCTTAAAAAGACAACATAAATCACAGACATACCTTAAAATACAATATAAATCACTTTAAAATTATACAAATTAACTCAATGAAAATGCAAAATCCATCTCCCACAGCCTGACTTACAGCAAACATGGCATGTGGCGAGTGTTTCCAGCTTTATGGAAAGCTCACTGCCAACCCTGAAGAGATTCTGTCCCTCCTTACCCCCAGTACCAGACTAATAATAATAATAATAAATAATGTTGTTGTTGTTCATTCGTTCAGTCGTCTCCGACTCTTCGTGACCTCATGGACCAGCCCACGC